AAGACCTTTGCCTGAAAAAAATTTAAGAAGAATCCTTTAGCTGTTAATCTTTGTACAGCAATTTACTCCAAAGTGAGGAAAATATTATTCTTAGTCTTCAAAGGGAATCTCAAAACATTCTCTGGAAGTATTACACGTAATTGAATTTGCACTTAAGTAGAAAAAATTTTTGAGACAAGTTAGATTATTTTCATAATTGCTCTATCTTGATCTTTGCATAAATAATGTTATGACATTGTGCCATTATCTGAGAAGCTAAGGATTGATGTTTGAGTTTTCTTAGTTTATAGTCAGATGATATCATATCAACAATTTTTTCTTTGGTTTATTGCCATTTTAGAAAGATCAAATTAGTTAACACCTTTAAGTAGGTCCTAAAATTTATTTTATTATCCCCTAGTGAGCTCACAGAGAACTTCTAAACTTCTCCTGTATTTATATAACTTAGAGATGTTACATTATTCAGAATGCCAAATCTTACTAAAATGCTTATGTTTGTTATTTTGGTAGGTTTTTTAAAATTTAAAGGTTATAATTAAGTCTATTTAATTGATTTTTTTCTCAGTCTATGTTTTAAAATTAATTTACTTCTCTTTTCTCCCATTTTTTTCTTTGAATGTTTATATATTAATTTTTTTAATTTAATATTTTTTTATTTGTGATTCATTGAGGGTACAAAGAATTAGGTTACACTGGTTGCATTTGTTAGATAAAGTCCCTCTTGGGCAGCACCTGTGGCTCAAAGGAGTAGAGCACTGGCCCCATATGCCGGAGGCAGTGGGTTCAAACCTAGCCCTGGCCAAAAACTGCAAAAAAAAAAAAAAAAAAAAATCAGATAGATAAAGTCCCTCTTATAATTGTATCCTGCCCCCCAAGAGCTGTGCCATACACTGTGATCTCCCTTCACCTTCCCTCCTTCCTTCTCCTTCTCCCCACTTGCTCATTCCCCTACCCTCCCCATATTAGCTAATCTACTACCTTCATATTAGAATTGAGTACATCGAATTCTTGCTTCTCCATTCTTGTGATGCTTTACTAACAAGAATGTGTTCCACCTTCACCCTTCATCCAGGTTAAAACAAAAGATACAAAGTCTCCATCTTTTTAGTTGCTGAACAGTATTCCATGGTATGTATATACCATAACTTGTTAATCCATTGCTGGGGTGGTGGGCATTTATTCCACATTTTGGTGATTGTACATTGAACTGAAATAAACAGTCTAGTACAAATGTTCTTATGATAAAATAACTTTTTTCTTCTGGGTAGATGCCTAGTAATGGGATTGCAGGATAAAATGGGAGTTCATAGATTTACGGTCAAAGTTTTATGAGGATATTTTGACCAATTTGAATTCTTAAAGGATTCTCCATACTTCCTTCCAAAAATATTACCCTGAATGAAGTAAAACTGAAAGCTTTTCCATTGAGAAGTGGAAACAGACAAGGTTGTCCTCTATCACAACTACTATTTAAAATAGTGCTGGAAGTTCGAGTCAATATAATCAGGCAAGAGATGGAAATAAAGGGCATCCAAATGGAGGCAGAGGAGTACAACTCTTCCTCTTTGCTGATTATATGATCTTATACTTGGCGCACCTGAAAGACTCAACCACAAGATTCCTGGAAGTGATCAAAAAATATAGCAATGTCTCAGGATATAAAATCAATGTCCACAAATCAGTTTCCTTGGTATGCCAATAATAGCCAAGATGAGAAGCTAATCAAGGACATAATTCCCTTCACAGCAGCTTCAAAATAAATGAAATATCTAGAAATATACCTAACAAAAGAGGTGAAGGACCTTTATAAAGAAAATTATGAAACCCTAAGAAAATAAGTAGCAGAAGATATTAACAAATGGAATAACATACCAGGCTCATGGCTGGGAAGAACTGACATTGTCAAAATGTCTATACTTCCCAAAGCAACCTACAGATTCAATGCAATCTCCATTAATATACCATCATCACATTTTCAAAATTTGGAAAAAATAATTTTTTGTTTTGTATGGAATTAGAAGAAACACCAGAGAGCCAAGGCAATTCTTAGTAATAAAAATAAAACTGGGGGTATAACCCTACCAGACCTTCAGCTACACTACAAGGCCATAGTGATCAAAACAGCATAATATTGGTACAAAAATAGAGACATTGACATTTGGAACTGAATACAAAACGATGAGATGAAACTGACCTCTTACAGCCACCCGAGTTTTGATAAATCAAACAAGAACATACACTGGAGAAAAGAATCCTTATTCAATAAATGGTGTTGGGAGAACTGGATAACCACATATAAAAGACTAAAATTGAACCCACACCTCTTACCACTTACAAAAATTGATTCAAGATGGATAAAAGATTTAAATTAAGTAACCAGGTCAGATTGTACAAAAAAGAAAAAAATCAGCACATTGTACCCCACATCCCACATATGCATGAATGTATTCATGATCTATGTATATTTGACTTAATAAAATTAAAAATATATATATACATAGACAGTTTGTGCACCACAAATAAACAGGAATTTAATCTTGTTCTCAAAAAAAAAAAAAAGAAGACAGACATGTGGCTAAAAAACATGAAAAAATGCTCTTCTCTTTTAGACATAAGATGACTTCATTGAGGGCACAATTAATTACATTGGTTCAGTAATCAATATTCACAGGCTAAAAAAGTTAATTAAACTGCTAAAATAAATTTAGGGAATGTAAATGATATAAATGTAATAAAATTGCAGGAGGTTTTCTATAATCTGCTTCTTTTGAAACTTCATACTGTTTTCCTTTATAATTTAATGTTCACTCAGGACCCTAGACATAGTCTTCATATGACTGATAAGTTCTGAGACCTTTTTCATGAGGAATGATTTCCCAGTTGCAGAAATAGATTTCCCATAAAAACAACTGAACTAATGACAAGTTTTTTCTTTACATTTTGATAACTGGCCTAAACCACAAAAATTTTATGTTTTATCAAGATAATTCTTATATTGTTCTCATTAGCTTTTGATTTCTTGGGAAAATTGAACTTCAAAAAAATTCTTTTTCTTTTTTTTTACTGTATTGCCTTTAATTTCTTCTAATTGTCACTCTTGAGTAAGCAAATCACCATCATTTTACAATAGCCTGTGATTCTATTTTGATCAAATAACTGTTTTTAACAAATGTCCACAAAATCTAGATAATTTGGATGTTTAGCTACCTGTAAGCTTCCATTTTACTGTCACTGTTGGAACAAGGCGGAAACCACAACCTTTTTTGATTTAGAATGGTATTTATTTATTTATTCTGATACAAGATCCTCTAAATCCTGAGTTTGTATGGTTTTAACAAATGTTTATGTTTTGTATAGTGAATTCTTATGAGTCTGACAGTAGTTTAAGGCTTATATATAAGTTCGTTTTCTAAACTTGCTTTTGCAATTTTTTTTTTTACTCTTATGTTGCTTAACAGGTTTTAAAGTTTGAGAAATTCCTGTCTACCTGCATTCCTATTTGGCATAGAACATTTAATTGGTCATAAGTCTTTTTACTTTAAGTACTTTGGGTTCCCACCAGGGGACAAGACAGAACTGGGGCAGGTAGCCACACCACCTTAGCAATAGTGGAACAAAATAAAAGTTTGGCCATTGATGCTGCCTCTGGTAAATCCTGGCCAAAAGGTGGGAAATATAATACCTCCCACTGACTGACTGGAGCTCCTCTTGGCCAAGAGGACTACATAAAAAGTTAAAAGTGGGTTCTTATCCATGAAGGGAAGGGAGGTTACACATGCCTCATTAACCTGAAATTTGCAATCTCCTTTCAGATTGGAGAGGGGATGTAAATTGAATAGCTGTCCATACCATCCACAAGCAGTTGTGAAGATTCTTGGATATTGTCAGATTTTGTTAGATCTAGATTTCCAATTTTAGGCTTACAGCAAAACCCCTCCAAAAAGTCTTAAAAGGGGAAGAAAAAGAACTACTTATTTGGATCAGAGAAAACCACAAAGCTATCTTAGCTTTTAAAAATTTAATGACTCTCCCTACCTTGGGCCCCTGTATTTGTATAAGCCTTTTGATTTGTTCATTGAAGAAAGGCAAGGAATTCAACCCAGAATATTGACAAACTGTACAGCAGCTGTTCTCAACCTGTGGGTTGTGAGCCATAGGAACTGTATTAAAGGGCCACGGCGTTAGGAAGGTTGAAAACCACTGCAGTGTAGAGGATCATAAGCAACCCAGATCTTATTTCTTTAAGCAATTGGATGTGGTAACAAAAGGATGGCTCAGTTGTCCCGAGGAGTTATTAGTTATGATATTTTATAGGAAGCTGAAAAGGCTACCCTTGACCAACCTTGGGTGACTGCTCATACCATGTATAGTTTCTACTAGAACTAAATGAAAGTTTTTGGTTACTGGCAAATGGTTGAGTGGATAAGTATCAGACTACTTAGTCTGATAATCCTAACATAACTCTGAACCTGGCAGCCACCTCAAATCCAGTCACTTTGCTGCTTACTCAACACTTCCCTAAGTGTTGAGTGAGACAGAGAGGAGTGGAGATAGATTAGAGAGAGTGGTAGGAGAAGATAAAGAATTGGGGAAGAGGAGAGAGAGAACAAAAGAGAAAAAGAGAGAGAGAAACATTGAATAACTTATCAGATTTTATGACCAAGCCTTAAAAATCTCACATGATCATTTCCACAATATTCAAGTTAGGAGGCATTTGCAAAGTCCTCCTCAATTTTAAGGGGAGTAGACAGACTCCACCTTTGAGAAGTAGCAAGTTTCTGGAAGAGAAAGTGAAATTAGAATTATCTCTGTGGCCATTTTTTGATAACACAATTTACCACATCACACTATGTTGTGTTGCTACTCCCTTCCACCTTGCCAGACCAGAGTGAGAGTTCTGTGAGGGCTTGATATCTTGTTCACCCTTCTATATGTTTATCACTAAATGAATACATGTCTTCTCTATTTCATGCTCATTAGATATTATAAAGGATAAACAAGTGTGGGCACATTTAAAGTGATAGTGCCTCCAATGTTAGACCCAGCTAGTAACAAAAGGCATGGGTCACCCGATCTCGGATCTGTTTTGTCTTCACACTGTAGACAATGGGATTCATCAGGGGCGGGAAAAGAAGATACACAAAACCCATGAGCACCTGCACCAGGTGGGGCATCTGCTGTCCAAAGCGGTGGATAACAGACAAGCCAATCATGGGCGTGTAGAAGAGGAGCACAGCGCAAACGTGGGAAACACAGGTATTAAGAGCTTTGAGTCTCTCTGTCCTGGAGGCAATGCACAGCACAGTGCGTAGGATCAGGGCGTAAGAGAAGAGGATGAGGACCGAGTCTACACCCACCGTGGAAACGATGACAAACATGCCATAGATGCTGTTGGCCTCAATGTCTGCACAGGCCAATTTCATCACTTCTTGGTGGAGACAGTAGGAATGGGAGAGGACTGGGGAGCCACAGTAGGGGAATCTTTTGAGCATAAAAGGCAATGGAAAAATAAGCACTACGCTACGGCCCAGAGAGGCGAGGCCAATCCTGCCAATGGCCGTGTTGGTGAGGATTGAAGCGTAGTGCAAGGGACGGCAGATGGCTACAAAGCGGTCAAAGGCCATAGATAGCAGCACGGAAGACTCTAGGAAGGACAAACAGTGAATGAAAAAGAGCTGGGCAAAACAGGCATCATGACTGATTTCCCGTGTCCCAACCCAAAAGATGCCCAGCACTGTAGGGAGGGTGCACAGGGACAGACCCAGGTCAGTCAGAGCCAGCATGGACAGGAAGAGGTACATGGGCTCATGCAGTGAGGGCTCTGTTTTAATGATAAAAAGGATCGTGCAGTTGCCCAGGATGGAAACCAGGTACATGAAGCATAGCGGGATGGAGATCCAGACGTGCATGTGCTCCAGCCCGGGGATACCGCTCAGCAGGAAGGTAGAGGAAATGCTGCTGCTGTTTCCCAGTGATCCCAGTGTCATTGTGCGTGGAAATCGGGGGGAATTGAATTCCCTCCCAAATTCTGAAATGAATTGAGTAAATGCTAGTGATTACACCTGGCAGAAATTAAAGAAAAAAATGATTAGAATCAGATAGACCTAAAATTGCATAGCTCCTTCCAGAGGTGGCTGCTCTCTGGTGCCTGGCTGCTTCTCAATACCTTTGTGAGGAAAATATTTTTAGTCTCAAAGTTTCAATAAGAAGCACAGACATGGAGCTGTGAAGTGACTGCTGTGTGACTTGTAGGAGCCAAAATGAATGAGCCAGATCTTCCACACAAGCTCTGCTGTGCTTTTTGCTCTGTTCTGACCTCTGTATCAACCAGATCTTGGCCTCTGGGCTTTTTAGAAGGCTCAAAAAGGGAGGAGAGAGAGTCCTGGTCCTTTCTCCATGGCACTGTGGGTTAGTAATGGCCATCTGTGTTCCACCACTGAAGGCCACAACTGCTCTTGGGGATCTTCCTTCTATAGCACGGTACCTCCTTGAGCTGAAGTAATTACTCTCTTTTCTCCTTCAGATTAAGGAGTGAAAGCATCTTCACTATTCTTGTTGGCCATACTCTGCATACCCCTTAACAAATAGGCCTTTCTGCTAGATGTGGGGGCTTACCTGAGCTCAAGAATGCCAGACTAGCCTGAGCAAGAGTGAGACTGTCTCTATTAAAAATAGAAAAACTAACCAGGCATTGTGGCAATCACCTGTAGTCCTAGCTACTCGAGAGTCTGAGGCAAGAGGATTGGTAGAGCCCAAGAGTTTGAGGCTACTATGAGCTATGCTGATATCACTGAAGTCTACCCAGGGCATGGAGTGAGACTCTATCTCAAAACAAATAAACAAACAAAAAATAAATCTTTCATTATACAATCCTTCCAGGCCTCTTTTATTTCAGGTCTCTCACTAATGTTGCAACTTTTCCTTCACCTTTTTCTTTCTGTATCTTACCTTGACATCATAGTTATTCTTTTATTTATTTTCTTTCTTTCACTTTTTCATTTTTGTTTAACCTCACCAGGCACATGAAAACCCTACTCTTACACATAGACCTACCCTTCACACAGCATCTCTTCTGGTTTCCTGATGTAGGAGACTAACCTTGTCCATATAGTTTTTAATTGCTGCTCAGGTCTCAGAATTCCAGAGAGAATCTGAAGGTGTGTGAATGACTGTCGGTGAAGCTATTCCTGACCACTACAGCAAGAGGGCAAAACCTTGATCCTCCTGTCAGTGGGGAAATGGCATTCCCAGGAAGTCTAGGAATCCATCTGTTGTGGACCTAGGTAGCAGGGGAGGCTGCAGACTACCAGATGCAGCCACATTCCCAATTCCAAGGCCAAGTATAAGGGAGTCCATAGAACACAGGGCAGTGTTGCTGAGAGGGCACATTCTTCTACAGATAAAGAATGAAGGCTCAGGAAAGCCAAGCCTCTGGACAGAGGTTCATATGACAATTTAGATTTTCTAAGGTCCAGAAAAATAATATTTCCATTCTCAATAATACCAGTAGAATTTGAGCTCAAGAGAGTAGACATTTTGCTTTGTTTATCTCTATAAAGCCACTGCTTAGAACATGCCCTGGTATATAGCAATGTGCATGAGTAAGAGTTGAATTTTATTTAGTTAGTTATTAGCAACTTGATACATGTTTCATCCCTTTTATAAAGCCTGTGAAAAATGTTCTTTTGATAGTGTCATGCTATGGATAAAGAACCAGAAGTGTCAAGAATGTCATTAACATATCTAAGGTAAGGGAGATAGTACTTGACCAACATCTGAGTTTTCTCTAAATGTTAGGCTCTAAACAACTGTTAGATTTTTTTCCAACGTAGATGATAACTCAGCAACAATTAGTAGCAGCTAGCTGAATAGACCCTCAAAAACAGTGCTGAATCTTTAGCTGAATTAATAAATAAGCTGCTTGAAGAAATATATATAATAAACATAATACATAGACATTTTATCTCTCACTCTGAATATCAGTGACATTAATAGCCAGTGTCATTAACTCACTGTCCATTTGAAGGTCATATTGGCTCTCTCGTGTGCAAACCAACTTCTACTGTAGCCAGGATTAATGGTTGCCACATTATACATCAAAGAAGATCTGTGATGAACTAACCCATCAGGGATAGACAGGCTACATGGTGGTAAGCAATATAATTCATAAAACCTAAGGTAGAAAATGTTTTTGACATTCAAATGAAGTAGAGAAGTGAAGAAAGATACATAAATCCTTATGAACACCTACTATTTGCCAGCCTCTGTTTCAGGAACATTGCAAAAATAATCACATTTAGATTTCATGAAAAAACTTTTCAAGTTAGTACTATTCCCTCAATTTGCAAGTGAGGAAAGAGAGGCTTCGAGAGTTTGATCATGTGCCTAAAGTCACACAGCCACTCAGTGCTAGAAATGGAATTCAAGCTTAGATCTCTGGAGCTCCAAAGAACATACTAAAATTTTGGAAAAATTAAAGTTAACAAATCTAGACAACTGTTCAAATTAAGGCAACCTGAAATGGGTGATGGTTAAATGATGAATGATAGGAAGAAATATCAAAAGTCTGATTCCCTGGGCGGCACCCATGGCTTAAAGGAATAGGGCGCCAGCCCCATATACCGGAGGTGGTGGGTTCAAACCCAGCCCCTGCCAAAAACTGCAAAAGAAAAAAAAAAAAAAAGAAGTCTGATTCCTACTGATTCCCACGATTTATTGGCTGTAAACTCAAGACAAACCATTTTTGAGATTATAATTTGTGCTTCACATTGTATTAGGGTACAGCAGAATAAGAATCAGACAAAGAATGATGAGAACAGGTTGGAGAAGAGTAAAGGAAAATCCAGAATAGTGAAGCCAGGCTAAAATCACCTTTAGCCTACTTGACAGAGAGAGCTTAACAGTATGTGCTTCTTAAGAAAGATCTTCAGAGTATCCATTATCAGATTTGGTGAGGAATTTGTCATTCCTGACCAGTAATAAAGCAGTTTTCCCGAGTAGGGTGAGTTAGGTGGGGGAGGAGGAATAGATTTAATGGATGGTCTTTCTGTCCCAATCTACCTTGCTTGGAGACTACTTCCTGGAGGGATTTAAGCAAGTTCGATAACTGTTGTGATTGTATTGTTTGTATTCTGTGATAATTCTGAGAAATGTCCTTTTATTACACTTTACAGGAAAGCCTTCCTCCCAGAGATTCAGATTAATTCCTATACAGATGTCTTGAGCTTATAGCACATATAAGGTGGGAACTAGACTTTTGATATTTCTTCGTACTGCTTTTCTTTTTGGAAATAACTCCTGATTCAGCTAACCTGTATTTGAGACTGACAGGTAGACTCTGAACCCTTAATAACTGAGCTCATCTCACATCTGCCTTGCAATTTTGCCCACCTAACTTACTTGCCACTCTGGGTTTCATCAATATTCCTGCTATTACCATTAAGGGGCCAACCCTCTAGGCAGGGAGCCCAGGGAGTGAGTGGATGTGAGAAAACCTGCTGTCTGCTTTCTGTGCTAGTGCTAAGATCAGACCCGGGAGCCCATGAAGCCAGCATGATCTTCAGTAGTTACCATCTTAGTAAGCACCTTGTGATCAAAGTCCCTTCTCTCCCCTGTCTCTCCAAAGCTCTGGATGAGTCTTCTGGGGCCTCTTCTTGTCTCCATGCTCAGCACCAAACATACCCTTCCTATATTGACTCTTCACATACCAAGGCTAAAAACTGGAGGCTGTGGGAAATATAGAGAGAGTGGAGGAAAGGAGTTTAAATCCCTCATTTTTATGCAAATACCCATTGAGACCCTTTCAAGGTTTTTTAATCAATTCCCTACCAGTCCTGGCTCCCTGGGCCTCTTTACCTCAGACCCTAGGGATAAAGAAAGCAGAGGAGAGGAGAGGGATGTTGTGAGCTGCCTGGAGGGGAAGCCCAGAGGACACGGTGCACTTGCAGTCATGGCTGAAGAATATGATGAAAGTTTTGGACAAACTCCACAACATCTGGAAAGCTCAGTGTGTGTTGTTGAGAATGTTTTATGCGTGATATAGCAAAACTCCAGTTTATGCACACTGGATGTGATCGTGCGCATGTTAGGTATATATAAACAGAGGTGAATTTCTAAAGGCTTGTTAAATTAAATGTTTTCTTTTCTTTCTTCCCCCCCAGCCCCACCATCAGCAAAGGGAAGAATGCCAGACCAGGATCTTAGAGATACTGTGATGGTGTCAATAGTTACTCTTTGTGTCTGAGATAACCGTATATGCTCCTTACCCTGCTTGCACTCGGGGACTCCATCTCCTTTCTCACTTCTTGATATGCCCAGAACTCAGCCCTTTGTTTCTAGATGTCAAAGAACTAATTAGAGAAACTGGTCAATTTTTATTTTAATTATGTATGATTTTGCATAATATTCTCTAATAAAATCTGTACAAGGAAGTAAAGTACATGTGTGCATCAGTTCAATAGGCCTAATTCCTTGTGTTGATCACCACCATATCTTTACAAGTATTTTGTTAAAGTTCCTTGTGTGGTCGACTGACAGAGGTTCTACTCTATGAAGGGATATCCCAGGTCCCCCAATCATTCATAATAAGTCATTTAAATTTATTGTCCTGACTGATCTCTTTGAAATGTGGCAGGCTTCCTCTTGTGGGCAGATTCCAATAATATTTGGTCAAGTGTGTATATATAAATTTAACTGTTACGAGGCAGTGTTTTCCAAATCACAGTCCGCAGATGACCTAGATCAGAATCTCTTGTGATGCTTGTTAAAATGCACATTTCTAGGCCTCGCCTCTGTAGGACAGAATCAGCAACTTTTGACATTTGTGCCAGACTCAAAGGTTTAGCAATTTTTGTATATCCTTCTCCTTGTGATTTGTTTTGAACTCTGATTTCATAATTTTCTCTTCTATCTACAATTTAATATATATCTTCACTTTTAGCCTGGGATTTGTTTCAAACCAGTTACTTGTTGTATTAATTTTCTAGAGCTATCAGAACAAAATA